CTTTCTTCTGGTGCTGCCCCGTCGCTTTGCGGACCGCCGCGCGGACCTTCTCGAGGGCCGCGCGGCGGAGGGTCGCCACCAGGCGCTTGGTCCGATCTTGTTGGAGGTAATCTTCAAGCCTCTTTTTGGCTTGGTACTCCCGGTTCTTCTCAAGTTTCCGAAAGTGCGCCTCTGTGCCTTTCGCTGGGTTGCCCATGCTTCCAGGCAGCGGAGTTCTAGCGGGGGCCTGAGCCTAAACACCTTTTTTTTTTTTGCCAATGGCACAAGTTGCATGCGATTGCTTCCCATTTCCATGTTTTCCCTTCCAGTCCACTCCCCCGTATCCTCCCCCATCCTCCCCCTCCTCCCTCGCCCTCGCCCTCCCCGTCCTTCTCCTCCTCATCGCCATCCTGCTCCTGCTCATTCTCCTCATGAGAGGCATGCGTACAAGCGGCCGCAGCAGGCGAGAAATATTATGAGGACGCCGCCAAATAAAGAACAGTGAAGAAGATGAAAAATGATATGAAGAAGAGTGGAACTGACAATCAGAATAATAATAAAAGGAATAAGAAGAATAATAATAAGAAGAAGAATAAGAAGAATAATAATAACAACACGTACAAAATAATATGTATGATCATGTAGGGGGCAAGTTTCTTAGGTTCCTGGGTTCCTGGGTTCCTAATTTACTAATTCTTGGATCATGAGTTTTCTAGGTTCTTGGGTTCTTGGTTCCTGAAGTCTTGGGTTCTTAGGTTCTTAAGTTCCTGGGTTCTTAGGTTCCTGGGTTTCTTAAGTTCCTGAGTTCATGGGTTCCTAAGTTCCTGGGTTTCTGGGTTCGTACGTTCCTGAGTTCCTGGGTTTCTTAGGTTCCTGGGTTCTTAGGTCCCTGAGTTTCTGGATTATTAGGTTTCTGGGTTCCTGGGTTCTTGGGTTCCTGGGTTCTTAGGTTCCTGGGTTTCTTATGTTCCTGGGTTCCTGGGTTCCTAGATTACTGAGTCCCTGAGTTCCCCAACTCCCTTCCCCTGGATCTGTAGAGGAACAGTGCGATGGGTTGAGCCAGAACCTCGTCGCGGCGCGACAATGACGCGAAAGAGCGAATGACTGTGAGAACGGAGTGAGGATAACTAATGCTCTACCCCCTTTCCTGTATTCCCCTCGTCCTTTACTCCTCGTCCTTTCCCTCTACTCGCCCTCCTCTCCTTCCTCCTCATCCTCATCCTACTCCTCGTCTTGGGATGTCATTGGTTTTCTTTGTTTTTTTTTGTTTTTGTTTTTTTTGCCTTTTCCGCATTTTCGCCTGCCCGCTCCTGGCGGCGCGGAGGGCCGGCCCAGCGCCAGGGCGCGAACGCGCGAAAATGCAAAACAAAAAAAAAACAGAAAATGCAAGAAAAAACAAAGAAAACCAAGGACATCCTAAGAAAACCATGCGAAAAAGCTGCAAAACCTAAGGAAAACAATAATTTTGGACGCCTGATAGCCACCAAACCTGTGAAAACACAAGGTTTCGGCTCATCGACGTCACGAAACACTGTGTTTTCACAGGTTTCGTGAGCACCAGCTTGCCAAAAGCTTGCTTTTCCTTAGTGTTTGCAGCTTTTTCGCATGGTTTTCTTGGGATGTCATTGGTTTTCTTTGTTTTTTTTGTTGTGTTTTTTTTTTTTGCTTTTTTTGCATTTTCGCTAGCCCGCTCCTGGCGGCGCGGAGGGCCGGCCCAGGGCCAGGGCGCGAACTCGCGAAAATAAAAAAATAAGAAAATAAAAAAAAAAAGAAAACCAAGGACATCCTAAGAAAACCATGCGAAAAAGCTGCAGAACCTAAGGAAAACAAAAGTTTTGGACGCCTGATAGCCACCAAACCTGTGAAAACACAAGGTTTCGGCTCATCGACGTCGCGAAACACTGTGTTTTCACAAGTTTCGCGAGCACCAGCTTGCCAAAACCTTGCTTTTCCGTAGTGTTTGCAGCTTTTTCGCATGGTTTTCTTGGGATGTCATTGGTTTTCTTTGTTTTTTTTTGCCTTTTTTCGCATTTTCGCCTGCCCGCTCCTGGCGGCGCGGAGGGCCGGCCCAGCGCCAGGGCGCGAACGCGCGAAAATGCAAAAAAGGCAAAAAATGCAAAAAAACAAAGAAAACCAAGGACATCCTAAGAAAACCATGCGAAAAAGCTGCAAAACCTAAGGAAAACAAAAGTTTTGGACGCCTGATAGCCACCAAACCTGTGAAAACACAAGGTTTCGGCTCATCGATACCGCGATACAAACTGCTTCCTTTTTGTAAGAGAATACAACCTGATTCCTTCTGTGGCGGATTACAAATTGATTTCTTTCTGTCGGATTGACAAACAACAAGTTCCTTGTGTGGCGGAATTACAAAGACCCCCTCCCCCCATCAGAAAAACATGCTGAGGCGTTCTTTTCAAAAGCAAAACTTCACCATGCCGACCCGACAACTCGCGTCGTCGCATCTTCGTTTTCCGCGTTGTTTGTTGTTGTGATTTGTTCCCCCCGAGGGGACTCCCAGAACACCCCGTTCTCGAGATGAGACCCCCCTCCGTTTGTTACGAAATCTGGAGTACCCCCTCCCTTCCCCAATGCCCCCCCGTCGTGCGGCCCGATGCCCGCGCCGCCCGCCGAGCTGCCCGGATCGTGGCTCGGCGGAGGCCGCCGGCTCGGACTCCGCCGCCGCATCCCCGAGCCTGCTCGCCCCCCTGGCGCTGCCCCGGGAGCGGTGGCTCAAGGACGGGGTCCCGAGGGACGGGGCCCCGAGGCCGAGGCCCCTCGGACCGCGTAAATCCACCCTCGGATCCCTGCTCGGCCTGTTCTCCACCGCCGCCACCCGAAGTGTGGAGGGGGGAAGGAGGAGGAGGAGGAGGAGGAGGAGGAGGACGAGGAGGAGGACGAAGAGGAGGACGAAGAGGAGGAGGAGGAGGAGGCCGAAGAGGAGGAGGAGGAGGAGGAGGAGGCCGAAGAGGAGGAGGAGGAGGACCCCCTCCCCCTCCAACTTACGGTGGTGGTGGTGGTGGAAAGCAGGCCCACCAATCCCTGCCTATCCTCAGACCCCCATCCCTCAGGACCCCATCGTGGAGCCACTGGCTGGAAGCGCGGAAAAAGGGGAGGCGAGCCCCGTCGGCGAGGGCGCTGGCGAGCCGTGGCGGCTGGCCTCGGGAGCCAGGCTCGGGCTTAAAGCCGTCCCCCGCCGCCGCCCCTCTGCCGGAACTGCGGCCCCTGCTCTGCACTGTTTTTTGAAATCAACATCGGCGAAAAAGAAAAGCCATCTTAATCAGAGCTGCCCGAGTCGGCAGCACTGATCCCCTCCTCAAGAGACCTGGCGACCTCTGCTCGAGGGCGTGCACGCACACCCACAGGCACAGCAGCGCCAGAGACAGCGGTCTTGCCCCTGGTACTCTTCTCTGCGCTCCAGCTCGTACGGCTGGCGCCGCAAAGACAGCGTGCAACGGCACTCTCCAGAGAGCACGCGGTCC